ATAATCTGACATTTGTTAAAACCACTTATTAGAAATTATGCAGCACAGTAGCTGTGGAAATATGAGCTAGCTTCACAATTATAAAGTCAGCCTATGTAGCCCTTGCCTATTGTACATGGTGGTATAAGCCCCACGGCGGCCTATCAGCTAACTGGCAGGCAGGGGGCTGTGCTATTCAAAGTGAGAGATACAGGCTGCAGGGCAAAAACCTGGCAGCTCCCATCTGACCCCACAATCCCCTACTGGTGACAGCTCCAAGCTCCATGGCAAATTAGGCCTTCTCATATTACAATTGGAGAAGACAGATTCCATTAGCAGTATCTGAAATTGAGTGGAGAGCTGCACTGTTATCAGGCTTGACTCATAAGCACTGCTATTAATCAGAGCTATGATAGCATTTATATATTTCAAGCTATCTGCTGCCGCTGTGATATTCTGCTACAAAGGGTTGATGGGACTTAGGAAAGTGAACAATAGAGCTTTCTGGGAAAAGCAGAGTAAATCAAGAAAGTCTATGACTTCCGCACATTCTGAAGGGATTGCGGTTTACATAAATTTTCTCCCAATTGGAGATTGAGCTCTTCCTCATCTTACACATGGGATTTAGTTGTCACTCAATGGTAACAGCTGTGAAAAGGTGAAGCGGCCCACCGCTCAGAATATTGCCTGCGCTTTTAAAGCAATTAACCCATGAACAGGAGGGTACCTGGCGATATCAAAGGGATTAGGCCAGGCAGTGCATTATTAACATCTCCTTGAACTAATTCTAACTCTGACTAGCTGTCAGAAAAGACTCCACAGTCTTAAAAGAGTTTTGCCCTGCTTTTCTCCCTTCAAAATGAAGCACTGCTATTTGAGCCTAATATGTCCCTCAACTTGGAGGAAAATGCAAATGAGCTGGGCTCTTAATATGCTTAACCAACCTGAGTCAATGCAATTTAATACACGTATGAGAAAAATACGTGATCAATTAACCAGGGATCAAGACAGATATTCCCCTGAATGGAAATGAATGCTCTGGTACTTCCCATTCTTCTCCAAGTACGAAAGCTTGGTGACAATGTGTTACTTATGCATAGTTACTTCTGAAATTAGGCAGCGCTTCACATTATTCTCTATGGCAATAATCTAAAACACTCTTTGAGCTGGAAAATCCAAATGTCCTTAAGCAGGAGATTCTGCATTCTCCAAGGTATGGCATTTTAATTTTCTCTTCTTTATTGAGTGGAATCTAAATGGGAGCTGTAAGGATAGCAGACACACTGCTCAGAATCAAGCACTTTCCAAAACTATAATCAAATCAGCTTTTAATGTTTGGGAACACATGATATAAAAATGACAAAACCCCACACATAAAACATGAACACAAAATAACCTGCCGGAAGATAGTCAACTATTATTGCTGCAGTTGATGGCAATTTCTCTGTTGTTTCAACACACCACTGATTACTGACACACACATAGTCTACATAACGTATTCAACACTAAGAGACCGGTTTCTTATCATACTGTGCTAATGGTCTTACTGTTTTCATATATTTCCAGAACAGGAACTTTTAGAGTCTCTGAAAATCTGCTTATACAGTGGATGGTTTACCTAACTTTCTTTAAAAGTGATTTTAGTTATGAAAACAAGAAGATTTTACTTTCATTTCTCATTGGATGCTTAATAAACACTGTGGCATGATTTTTCCCTAGCTCCACCTGTCCACTAACAGCTGGAAATCATCCTCATCCCAATTTGCTGACTTTCAAGGCTATTGAGAATGTATCTCTTACCTCGTGCCTCCTCAACAAATGTTCTAAGACGTGCCCTCACTAGAGACTACACACAGCTAAGCCTTCCCGGGGCACAGCGTTTTCACATGACACTGTCAGTGTGCTCTCTTCTCCTTAAGTGACAGCAGCACATAGGAAATGTGTGACTGTGACTTTAGCATTCCTCCTGATTCACTACAATAGGACCTAGTTTGAGGGTTCCTGGAAAATAACTTTGAAATTCAAATGGTAAGCAAAATTACTATTTATGATTTAAATCACCTATAACTTAAAAACTTTTGTATATACCATCCATGAATTACAAATAGGATACTTTAAACTACATATTATCAAATTTAAAAATGATTTACTTCAGTGGCCTTAAATGAAGAATCATTGTTCTTTTAAAACACTAACTTAATTGCATAGCCTTAATATAAAGATGTAGTGATGAATTGAGTATTATTTCACAGAAATGAAAGACTAAGTTCCCCTAACAAAGTGTAGCCTTTCCAGTGCCCCAAAGGGCACACTATTCCCGAAGAGGCGCGCTCTCCCTATTTGAGTTCCGCGAGCTGCACTGACACACACTGCTTCCAGCGTGCTGTTTCACTCATGCTTTCTACATTCGAGCAAATCAAATCAAAGTGAGCTCCTGCCAACCATTAAGAAAGACTGACAAAAAAATGCAGTGTTAATGATATCTTACAGCTTTTAAGAGCAAGAGAAGGATACAAGAAAAGCAAAAATTACATAGTAATTGGAAACAACGAATAAATTGTTCTTTCAATCTAAGTCATGTTTACTGGGAAAAAATGGAGCTTTTTACATCAACACATTTAAACAGAAATTTGCTTTTGAAACACAATCTTTGTTTAAAAGGTACAGAAGGTCTTTATGTCCACCCCAAGAGCTAAATATAGTGAATGCTCCATGAACAATTACCTGAAAAAGAATTAATTTACTGCACACCAGTCAGCTCTAGCCCTCCATGTACAGTAATGCTCTCTTAAGTGACGGGAGAAAGAAAGAACCAAACTGCCTCCTGGACCAAAACCCTTCAATAGTCAACAATAAAGCGGAAAGATGACTTGGTCTGTACATGATTAAAGTAGTGAAATGTCTCCTAAAGAAATTCTGAGCAAGGGGGCAACCTGCAAAGGAATATATTTACTGTACACCAGGACTGGCAAAGCCACCACTGCAATGGCTGCACAAAACCTCTCCTGCTGTTGGGCTTACATTCACAGAAGAAAGGTTTCAGAGGTTAAGTTCAGGTCACACAACAAATGAAATTGTAACAAGCCAGCTGACACTGTATAATGTCTTCTTCCACTCAATCAATAGGCTACTGTTAGTCTTATTACCATAGAGATGGCTTCTCTTTCTGACGGTGTCTATTGTTTGACAAAACAGATTTGCCACTTGAACTGGGTAGTCCCCAAAGGACGTGTACCTTGTCAGTTATTTGATTCGAAATGAAGTGTTTTCATATGAAAGTGCAGGCAAACAATGATGTCCTTGGGCTCCTTTTCAGGGAGAAGACAACTTTTCTGAAGGATTGTATTAGTAAGACCATAGCCATTTTAGCAGTATTAGAGCTCTGATTCAAATTGTCAGCAAGTGTGATTATTCATCAACAGTGTATTAAATCAGAGTCGCATGCTAATGGGCTCATCTAAAACTCACATAATCAAGCACAGTGAGCAATAAAATCAACCCTTAAACTGGACAACTAGGGGAAGACTGTTGTCTGAAACTATTTGGGTTTGGAAGAGGTTTTTATATGACTTTTAAAAATAGTAGCTCTCTATGGAATGCCATCAACAGAGTGTGAGAAAATATGAAAGGTTTTAGAACACCAATTGCCTTACCTGCCTCAGTGTATGAGAAAGAGAGAGTGAGTGTGCATGCATACATACACACACACACACACACACACACACACACACACACACACACACACACATAATTCACAGCCCTGAAGCACCTATCTTAAAGTTTATTGTGAAAATTAGTAACTCACGTCTTCAATATTGAACAGGCTAAGTTCCAAATTTCAACCAGATATTTAAAAATCAAAAATCAGTTTCTCTCTTAACAGAAACTGACAGACACTTAGTCACAAAAGATTCAGAAGAAATAGTTTTGATCAAAATTATTCCAACCTTTTAGAAAAATATCCACAACACTAAGCAACCCAGGCAAGGACCTTATTTTAAACCCTGACTATTAAAGGACTGACTATCAATGAAAACATGTAAGGTTAAATAGCACATTAAGTGATAAGGATAAAATTTAGCAAAACTGTAATAGTTGATTCTGAACCCTTTCTACAAATAGGTTTAAAGGTTATTTTAGAGTTATTATGTTAGTTTTTCCACTTCTATAAGTAATTCAAAAGAAACTTAGAATTTAAAGGACAATACTATGACTATTATATTAAAATGCTAGGTGGCAAAATTAATATTGGTAATCAAATCTACTTAAATTATAATATTTACATTAATTTTTTTTACTTAAGAAAAGGTTACAAAAGCTTTTGGACACAAGAATTTGTTTTTTCCCATTTTCCCACAAAGTACCAATTATATTTTTTTAGTGTCATCCTCTTAGGAAACAGGTTTGAACTAAGTTAAGAATGGAGACAGAAACATCAGAGGCACAGGAGTTCACCAATGTCTTAAATAGTGATCAATTTATTAAAAGCACAGTAGCTTCCCACTAGGAACGCCTCCATCACAGAAGTTAGTGGGATCAATTGTGACTCCCTTGCCTAGGGCTATGTGGGACAGCATGAAATCTCACTAAAACCACACCTCAAATGTGACAGCCTGGTTTCCACAAGCATACAGTTATGTTCATATTTATAATCAGGTCTCAGGCCCAGCCTGAGAGGCTGCCCACCTGCAGCACAGTGAGTAATTAAGTGAATTTACTATCTACAAAAGACAAGCTTTGTGTTGCTAAGTCAGCCCACTCTCATCTTTGTAAAATGACAGTCCTCATTAGTCCTGCCTAACCAGAGAATTGTGATAACAGACAGGTGATACCTTCAACCTGCTTTACAAAGCAGAGCCAACTGTGTAAACACCTGAGGGGTCGTGAAATTCCCATAACAAAGTGAAATTATGTGACTTAGGGAAGCCACTTAAGCAACAAAAGATTTTTACAAATGTATGTAGCCGGCCATGAGGAGCCCATATCACTAATTCTCAAAACTAACTAATCAACTACTTTACCTGAAAACGGTGAAGAAAAGGAGTGAAGCAGCTACGGCTCCAAACAAGCCACAGAGAAGGTTGACGCGGTAGGCCACGGAACCAAATGGGAAGAGAGTGATTGCCAGGCGAGCCGCCAGTGTGAACAGAGGATAGCCAGGAGGATGGGCAACCTGTGGGCAAAAGCAGCGAGTCAGACGCTTTCCCGGAAAGATGTGTCTCACTGGCGTTAGCAGAAAAGTAGCCCCTTCCCAGGCCGGCATGAGGACGGCGCTTGGATGACTAACTGTCTGAACAGTGCTTCCTGTGTCAATGTGTGTGTTTTAGTGGCTCTGGCGTGCCTATCATACGGTATGTCACCTGAAGGGAGGGTGACATATTCCTCTGCCGTCCTTAAGCAGTCTGTGCTCTGGGTTTACAGTATGTTCGGGTCATTTAAAAGGTTACTGAAAGCAGGCAGGTCCTGAAACAGGCCTTGGTTAGAGTTGAAAGACCACACTGCTATCGGATTACCACCGAGCTGACAGTCACAAGGTCTTGACTAAAGGGATCACACACTATAATAAAGTTTATTAAATAATAAACTTATTAAAATTGTTAACCCGATTTATTCTCCACAGCTTATACAAAATTTGGGATGATAATAAGCCAGCTACTGTATATATAGTAAAGGCTTTGCTTTATAATTTCAGTTAATTGGATTTAAAACTTAAAGTAAATTGTCATGTACTGTACTTATAAGTTACTAAAAACTAGGGCTTGAAAATAAATTAATCTACTTTATTCCATGCTTAATTAAACTTTCTTAATTCCTAAAACTGTTAATGAGAGCATTGATTAAACAATAAAACTAATACTTACTCCAAGCTCATGTGCAGCTGTGATCAGTTCCCCTGTGAAAAAATAATGTAAAACCAATAATTACTATTACAGAATGACACTCCTCCAAAGTTTCCAAAATCCGGATGCTTGCATTGGGGTTTTGCATTAATTTGACTGGATAAAACTGTAAATCTGGGGAGATTTAACAGCATGAAATAGTCTAAGAGTACTTTCTCCCTTAGGTCTTATTAACAAACTATCTTCCATAGTTTTAAGTAACTGGTCAGTGGAAATACAGGTGAATTCTAATAAAAAAATCATTTTTTCCTTCCTGAAAGTTGTGTCTACTTGTGAATATGCAAACAATAGCAGAGCATAGAAGTGATATGTTGCATTGTCTCAAGAACGTAGCATGGTTTTATAACGATGTAACATAACGAGGAGTGGCAACAGTTTGGGCCTGTTATCCTACCACTTGGGAGGCAGAGGCACAAGAATTACCATAAATTCAAGGTCAGCCTAGGACCTGGTGAGACTGCCCCTCCTACAACAAAAAGGATGCAGCTGTCTGACATAAAAAGTGTACAGAGGTTTGAGGTTTGGACACTGTTAAATGTGCTGTTACCCAAACGCTGGCATCTGGATACCTTCTCTACATCAAGTTAGGCATCTTTAAACAATCTGCATTGTTTTGGTAAGCTCTCCTATAATTTAACATTTTACAGCAATATATCATTCTATTCTTTACACGTAGCTCCTCACTGCTAGCCATTCTTTCCAAGTTTACAGCACAGTAGGTAATCCGACGTTTGTTACTATAACTAGAGCACGTTTGACTCGTGTCTCAGAAGCACAATGAAACGCTAGTCTGAAATAGCGACTTGTGGTTACTTCTGCTTATTAAGAAAGGCACTAGTGTGCATGTTTTGTTCCTCACCAGATATCAACTCTCTGCCTTTAATTTCTACTGTCCTACTTAAAATATAGACCTCCACCTTCCCTGGCCTGAACTATAGCAAGACTTAACTAATTTAATGTATTTTTGTTCCAAAACTATTCTTGATTGCAACACCCTTTCCCCAGTTTATACAAAATCAAGGAGGAGGCAGAAGAATTACCATAAAGGAGCCTATCCCCAGTCTATAATCTCTCAAGCTGCTGCTACTACTAAATTCAGGTATCCTAACAAGAATGCGAGCTCTCATCAGGCAGTTCCCCTCGGCAGCCTTGTTTCCACACTACCTATGCTCCCCAAATCTGAATGCCAGTGTTCCACTGGGGTGGCCTTTTTCACCCTTCCAACACTCCTCTCTCACCCTGGAATGTTTCTCCACCTTTCTTTCCTAACCTGTCAAGGCCCAGTTCAGCTGCCACCCGGGAATAACACCTTTGCTTACACAGCTCCAGCTCCACCTGGGAATAACACCTTTGCTTACACAGCACCAGCATCCTCTACCAGCTAATAATTCCTCTCCTCCACATGTCTGAACTATTGAGCACTTTCCTGTGTAGGACTATAGTCTAGCTGGTTGTTTTAATTTCTCTCTCACTAAGTCTAGAAACATCATCATAGTCATTTAAGGTGTCAAGAAAACACCACCCATCCCCTCTCTGGCCACTCACAATGAATCAAGAACAAATCCCCCACACATAGTGGGTGGTGGAGACATACCACACTGTGGTCCTTACTACTCAGAAACCCTCTTCTTCACAGAAGCCCCCTTGGGCAACCACGTACTGCTTAATTAGGTCAATGGGTGATACTGGCATCTCAGAAATGCAAGTATTTTTTGTATTGTGAACACTTCTTTTAGAGAAATTGTTTATAGTCAAAAAAGGCTTATAACTTTTTTCTTTTGCAACTACTCTGAGACAGGATCTTACAATTTTACTTCATGATTTAGCTTAGTTTTGATCTATTTTTGCTTTTATCTGTGGGACAAAGTATACTACATTCCAGCTTTCAAGGCCACCGTTCTCTCCCATCCGGAATGTATTCAAACTATACTGTAACATTAATACCATTCCTGTGCTTCTTGCCAGAAAATAAGTCATCTGTATTTTTACCCCTAAATTCCAATGTTATAAGGACAAATCTGGAATCTGACAAATTTCTATCAGTTATTGGCAATGTTGAATCCAAACAAAAATATGCCACTGTTCAAAACCTATAATGTATGCATGGTCGAGAGCAAAGGGAATGCTCTTAAAGCGAATGTGAAAACGGGAAGGCAAAAGTACATGCTAAACTCAGTGCCTCCTCAGTTCTGCTTTCTCCTGGCCCGTGTCGGTGCAGTTAAACTAAAGGGCCACTTGGATCAGAACTAAACTTTGTGAAGGCCTCCCGACATTGCCACTCAAACTTGCTGGGGAATTTCTAAGTATATTCCAGTTTGAGACACATAATTTTGTTGTGCCAGATACAAACCAGAAGCAAGCCCAGAGCTGCCCGGAGAAGTGTCCACAAGCCCATATATCGTCCATTAAAGTCACTATATTTAACATATTTAAATACACCTACAAGTTAAGTTTTTCTCTCTCAAGGATCATGAGAACATGAGCAAATGTGCATGTTTAGCAGAGAAGGAAAAAAAAAAGCCAGCTGGCAATGCCACACAATGCGGTGGACCCATCGGGTAAGACTTAAGATGTAGCAGGAGGAGGACATGCTTTATTCGGTTTTGAGATGTATTCTGTTTATTGACAGAGCATACATTCATAAACATTCAAGTACATTCAACACAGAAGCAACACGATCAAAGGTAAGCCTAAACAGAATTTCCACACTGGCATGTACTTGAAAATAGCTCATTGATGATTCCCGAAAATGATTATAAAAAATCAGAAGCAACTAACCAATATCATTCAGCATCCAACTAAGCAAATCAGACCCTGTAAGAAGTCTCGTAATTCGGATGAATTTTATTCTCTTGGTGACACGTGAAATACAGTATTATAAAAGAAGGCAACGATTAAAAAGATTATCACTATGTATGATGGAGAATTTAACAAAGTCCCAAAATTCTTTTGAGCAGGCATCAAAAGAGAGTGCTCGAAAGTCAATCTGTGTAGGTTCTTTTTTGGATGGCCCCCACTCACTGTGACTTTGGCTAGCCAAACTTCACTCATCTCCAAAAGAAGAGAACAGCACCTACCTCCTAGGACAGCTGGAAGGGAAAAAATCCAAAGGCACTTAGAACGACTAGTGGCATATAGTGTTAGTATGCTTCTCATGCCACGTTTGTGGCTCTAACAACCGTAAGCTGTTGTAGACACCTATTAATGGGTACAGAGGTTTCTCAGTAACACCCTCTAATACCAAACCTCTTGCCACCCTAAAACTACTTCATCATTTAATAATAATCTTGGGAAGCTGGTAACTCCATTCCCAAACACCATCCCCAGTAACTGCTCGGCGGAACCGGAAAGAGGCCTGAAAACGGAGCATCAAGGATCCTTCACGTGTCAGGCAATCTCGAAGCCAGGCCTGGTAATCCCCATCTCCTGGCTTTCCTGCCGTGTAATCCTCTCCCCTTTGAACTGGTCTAGATTTAACCGACTCCCTCAAATAAAACAGGGCAGTGGCACAATATCACTTCCTGGATTAGGTTTCAAAAATGGCAGACAGAATAGAATGTCAGGGCGCCCTATCTCTCTCTTTTGACAGGCATCAGCTGTCTTGTGGGGAGCCACGCAAAGAACTAGCCTGAGGTGAAAGCAGATGCCCCCCCAACAGGGCCACGGGGTCTGCACCTCCAGCCCACATCTTAGCGTCCCAGCTAAACTGCACCGAGAGCTCTGAGCCACAGACTGGGAGATGACAGACGTCCCAATCTGGGTGGCCTTTCCAGGTAGTGAAAATGGTAAGCAGCTCGTGGGTTCTTCAGCAAATAGTTCCATTTATGCTGTTACAGCACCAGCCTGAAACACTGCTGCTCATTTAGAGATATTACTGGTCCCTTGATCTGGCCGTAAGACGAACCAGGAATTTCGTTTCTAGACTCAGATGTGTAACAACCATTCCCCCGTCTTCATCTGTGTGAGACAAGCTTCTTCTCCCCCCCTCCCCCGCCTCACAGAGGGCTGCTTTAAACTGGCCCGCCCTCCCCACACCCACTTTTAGAGTTTCCCTCTTAATGGTCAGGTTCCAGCTATTGTCACTTTTCCTGGTCTGCCACTCTGAACTACACAGTTTATTTAGGAATTCGCTGTGTCCTGTCTAAGCACGCTGGTGCGCTGCAGGTATTTGTTCACTACGGTCATGAGTCTTTCAGTCTGTGACACTGCGAAGGGCTCGACAGGTAACATTTACGGACCAAAAGGGATCGCAGGGGGACAATGGCCGGCGGCTGGTTAAATTTCATCGGCTCGAAAGCCACGGAAGCGGGACGGCCCGAGAACGCAGAGGCCAGGGTTCCAGAAACGGAACGGCGGCTAGCTCTGGAACGCGGAGCGCCCGTGACGGGACGCGGGAGCGGGGCCCACGCCCGGGGACGGGGGCCCTGGCAGGAGGGCGGCCCGCGAGTACTTTACCCGAGTCTCCCCCCGGCAGCGAGCGGGGCAGCGTCAGGGTGAACCCGGCAGCCACGGCGGCGAACACGGCCACGCTGCCGCGGAGGCCCCCGGAGCGCCACGGCCCCGCTCGGGCTGCCGAGCGTCCGCCGTCGCCATGGAGACCCATGGGCCCGGACGCGCGCGCGCGCGCGCCAGCTCGCCGGCTGCGCACCCTCGCCGCCGCCGCACCGACCTTCCCCGGCCGGCCGAAGAGGCGCGCGCGCAGCCCGCGGCGGCTTCCGGTCTACGGGAGGAGCGGACCAAGTCCTTTATTGCCCGCCCGGCGGGGGAGGAGGAAATAGCGGGTGCGCCCCGGCACGGCCTACGAGCTTTCTGGGAGACACCACGCGTGGCAATGAGCTTTCCTAAGTGAGACTTGAAGTCACGAGTCACAAGGGAGCATAATCCCCTACTACAGCAAGCCTGGGACGGACCTACTGACCCTACTTAGTGTCCTGTCCCCCTTCCGCACTGACTTGGTCGGTTCCAACGGAGAAGGAAGCGGAGACGAAAATGGCGAGCCAGAAAACGCTGCTCTGCCCCCTATGGCCTGGAGTGGAACTGCAAAAAAAGTGCCCCCTAGGAACCCAATATGCTAGTTGCTACTGTTTTTCAATTGGGCACATTGATCGCGGCTATGTATTTATAACGATTTGTCTCAATAAAATTAATGTAAATACACGTGATAATTGTTAATTCACTAATCTTAAGATATTAAAATGTGCTAGTCTGTCTTGTTTTCTTATAACACGAGAACTCCGTAGGTGAGTTGGAGCGCTTGAGTCCTGGCCCTAAGAAAAATGATTCTTCATGGCAAAAGTGTGTCCTATTTAAATAAAGAGGACATTTTTTGGTGGAGACTTGCTCTAAAAGTGGGCAATGAAATGGAGACACCATGTAAATGATGCAAATGAAGCGTGGAAAGAGATGGGCAGCTTCTCAGCACATGGCTGGGAAGGTGAACCTGGCGCCCCACACACGCTGGGCGGGCACTCTGCTGCCAAGCTGTCTTCCCGGCCCTTAGTAAACATTTGTAAGCTTACACTTTGCACTATTACAGCAATCATTCAGACTTGGGTAGGGGTCGGGCAACCTCCGCAGAATGTTTTTCAAAATACGCGAAAAACGAGCAGCAGTCTCAAATGGGCTACAAGCCGTCTGACAGGGACAAAGTGTCCCAACTGTAGAGCTGATTGGCATAACTGTGCCCACCCGTCTCAGTCTTTTCCTGGTGTTCATGAAATGTTGTAGCTCCTGGGACGCAGAGGTGGTGTGGACCGCACTTTCCCACTGCAGTGAGAAAACCCTGGCCGGGGACACCTCTAGAAGAAGCAGTTTATTTGGGATGACAGTTCAATAGGGATGCGCTTGTCACAGCAGGGAGATGTGGCAGCAAGCAGCAGCATGGAGGCAAGAGAGGAAAAGAGGGACTCTGTATGTAGGTATGGAATATGGCAACTAGAGTTTCAACTCGAAGCAGGAAACGGAGCAAACTCAAAGGGTGCAAGTCTTTGAACTCCCCAAGCCTTCCTTCAGGGCTTCCTTTCCTACACCTCTTCTGCAAGTGCCACTAACTGGAGACTAAATTTCCAAATGGGGACATCTCCTTTAGACCACCTTGCGTGATATGCCACTTGGGACATCTCATTTAGACCACCATGCGTGATATGCCGCTTGGTCGGCGGTTCTCCGCCATCCTTGTGTCATAATATTGGCTGCTTGTGTAGCCCTTGTCCCTGTTTGTGCGGGGCTGCCCCTTGCGATTCCTGTCAACAGAACAGCAGAACGCTATGGCCATCCTCTTTTGAAATTAGATCGTGGGAGACTGTCTTCAGCTTGCTTTCACTCCGCTATTTCTCATCTTCTTGTGCTTTCCCAATAAGCCAGTTTCTGCATTGTTAATTGTTCTTTGAAAAAGGTCTACATGGTGAAAAGCTGAGAGCCCCTCCAACCATCTGCCAGTAAGCAAGTGAGGCTCTTGATCCATTAACCTTCAAAGAAGTAAACCCAGCCAGTTCCGTAGGAAAGAGACAGAGAACAGACCTTTCCCCCACGTTAGCCTTGCAATAAGTACAACTCATGGAAACCTTTACTGCAGCCTGTGAAAGCCCTTGAAGCCCAGCACCCAATTAATAATCTCCTGATTAGTGTCTGGTGGAAGTTGTGAGGCAGTGAATATTGGAGATTTAAGCTTCAGAAAGGCTTCTATTTCTTTTCTGAAAGAGCATACCAATGAATAGTTCAGGTCCAAGCACACACTTTGTGGTGATATGCTTGCTGTTTATGATCTAATAAAGCTTTCCTGGAGATCAGAAGGCAAAGCTAGTCACAGCCATAGAAGCTGGGCTTTGGATCCCCTACAAGAGCAACAAATGCTTCTAATCACTGAGCAATCTCTACAGTCCATTCATTCACTCTTTCTTAAAAGAGTGTTCCAGAAATGCCATTGCATGATTCTTCTGTATTTCTTTGTCCTCAATTGAGTGAGTGAGGCCTTTCCTAGAAGCAAAAGATGCTGGAAAATATACCTTTCAAGTAGACATGTATCTTGTCCATGATTTCTCTACCTCTGCTCTGGTGTGTATATGGTGTGTGTGTGTGTGTGTGTGTGTGTGTGTGTGTGTGTGTCCATGTCTGTGTATGTGGAGACCAGAGTTCAATGTTGGATGTTTTCCACTATGGTTGTCCACCTTGGGCTTTTGGTTTTTGTGGCTGGCTGGCTGGTTGGTTTTGTTGTTGCTGTTTTGAGATTAACTGGATTTTCTAGTGAGCCCACAGAATCCAACTATCTCTGTCTCCCACACCCCCAACAGTTCTGAACTTACAAGTGCTAACACCACACCTGGGTTTTACATGGGTGCCGGAGATCCAAACTCAAGGCCCCAATTTTGCACAGCAAGCAGCTAGCTTATCCACTGACTCATCTTCTCAGCCCCAGTGTCTAAGTCACGCTGTCCTATTGCTGTGAAGAGATGCCATGACCATGGCCACTTTTATAAAAGAAAGCATTTAATTAGGAGCTTGCTTGTAGTTCCAGAAGGTTTGTTCATTATTATCATGGTGGGGGGGGGTTGCACACAAGCAGGTGCTGACCAGCAACTGAGAGCTTTACATTCTTAGCCACAGGTAAGCAAAGAGAGTGAGACACCGGACCCGGCAAAAGCCCACCCCCGGTGACACACCTGCTCGAACAAGGACACAACTCCTAGGTGACACACCTGCTCGAACAAGGACACAACTCCTAGTCCTTCAAGCAGTTCACCAACTGGGGACCAAGAATGCAAACATTTGAGCCTATGAAGACCATTCTTTTTTTGTTTGTTTGTTTGTTTGTTTGTTTTGGTTTTATGAGACAGGGTTTCTCTGTATTGTTTTGGATATGAAGACCATTCTTACTCAAGCCACTACACTCAGGATTCTCCTACAATGAGTAAAGGGAGAGTGCGTGATGGAAACCAGCTAGCAAACCCTTCATGATTAGATTCGATAACTTGTACACATTTGAACCTTCGATGGTCAATGGTTCTGTTTCAGTCCAGTGGGACATATGGAAGCCAAGTACCAGTGGGTTAAGAAATAGAAGATTGAAAATAGAAGACATTTCTTAGAAGTTTAAAGAAAAAGGAAGAAGCGTGGAAATTCACTGAAGTGCTAGGTGAGGTCCATTTTTTCTGTAGTTGAAAGGGTTATCTGGAAAAGAGAGAATGTTAGGGATGAAGCCAAGGAAAACAGAAGAGGGTTGGATTTACGAGGAGACAAAGGGCTGTGCTGGTGGACGCCTTTATTCCCAGCATTTGGGAGGCAGAGGCAGGCAGATCTCCGTGAATTAGAGGCCAGCCTGGTCTACAGAGTGAGTTCTAGGACAGACAAGGCTGTTACACAGAGAAACCCTATCTTGAAAAATATGACAGACAGACAGACAGACAGACAGACAGACACACACACACACACACACACACACACAGGCAAAGTAGAGCATAACTAAAAAGAAAATCTTTTATTTTAAAGCCTGCAAAAAATTGCTTAAGATCAGAAGTATTTAACATTTGAGTTTTTTCTTAATTTTTGATATTTATATGGACTCCACTAATTGAGTATCCCCAGTATAAAAATCTAAAAAACGCTCTAAAATCCAAAGCCTTTTTTTCCTTCACAGGATCCATGTAGCCTAACTTGGCCTCGAACCCACGACCCTCTTGCCTCAGCATCTTGAACTCTGAGATTAAAAGCATTCTCCACTATGCCCTGCAGTCAAAGCCCAAACACTTTTGAGCATCTTGCTGGTACATAATCTTTTCTGGTTTTGGAACATTTCAGAATTTGGATTTTGGGGTGATCAATTTATACATGGCTCTAAGCTTCTTTGGTAACCCGAATGTGATGCTGAGTGTCTTGAAAGCCAAACAGGTCATAGGGGACTGACTCTCAGTTCTCCAGAGAATGACTTTTTCTCTGGCACTTACATAAGTAGTAAAACCCAGGGAGGTTTCAGCTGCTTGTTCCTATGGGCATCCAAGGTCACCTAGGCCTCTTCTGTTCCCTCTCCTTTTTCTAGTGACATCTACAAGCCATTGTGGGTGAGGCAAGGGAGGGGGCCTCTCTTTGTGGGATGGTAACAAATACTGACCCTTTAGGCATCTCTGACTCCATCCATCAGGGAGGAAGAGGGACACTCCATTACCACTGTGTGGGTCTCCAATGATGCCATTGGAAAATAAGGGCCTCGTTTATTTCCTAAGGAGAACAAAGCAGCCTTCTTTGGGACCATTCTGCTGCTTACATTGGGGTCCCTGGAGATGGCAAAGGTCTAAGCGGACTCCCCACCCAGCCCTTGTTCCCAGGTGATAGTGTGGTGATATTTTGTTTATGATCTAACAGATAAGCCTTGCCTGAAGACCAGAGTTCAGAGCTAAGCCATAGTTAGTGGCCAGGCAGTGATGGCAACACCTTTAATCCCAGTATTTGGGAGCCACATGCATTTAACCCCAGCACTAGGGAGGTGGAGGCAGGAGTGCTACGGATATAATAAGGCAGAAGGACACAGGAGCTCAGTGCATTCAGTCTGAACATTCGGTCTGGGGATTCCTGGAGACAGCATGTCCCATTCATTCTGAGGAACCCATAGAGGTAAGAACTAGTGGCTGGCTGCTCTGCTCCTCTGATCTTTCAGCATGTACCCCTATATCT